ATACTATACTAGTGCGGTTCTTAGCTCTTCACTTAATAGTGCTGCTGCTGCTTCTGCTTCTACTTCAGCTTCTGCTGCTGTTGCTGTTGCTCGTCGTTCGTCATGTCACAAATGCCTTTGTTTAGTTTATTCACTTTTGTTTTTGGAATCTTAATTTTTTTGTTTTCATATATTTGTTATTATTGTTTTTTTTTATTATTTCCATTTTATTTCTATTTTTTTTGCTCTCATAAAATTTGTAGTTTTAAATACTTTGCTTTTGCGATATGCTGTGTGTATGATGTTGTTATTGTACTTGCCTGTTGTTATTGTTATTATTGTTGTTGTATGATCTGTTTGATGGGGATGAACCTGTTGAAAACACAAAATTCGAAAATAGAAATACAAACAACAAAATTTCTTTCTTTCATACGTTCAATTCTGCTTCTTACTTAGTATGTCAATGACCCTACTATAAACATCACATCAAATACAAATGATGAATGCACTTGCGTTTTGTCTTCTTGTACATAAAGGATGTCAGTCAGATTTGTGTAAAAGGATATAAATAGGTACTTTAATTTGTTGTTGTGTTGAAAAGTTTTTAGTCTGCTGCAAATGACATGTAGTGTTAATATTGAACTTTTTGATTAGGGACTTATTGAACTCCAAATATTTTCAAGTACCAAACGCATAGAATGTTTCCATTCGCACTGTAGTGTTGTTTGGTTCATGTTTTGTAGTATAAACAAAATTCTATTGTACCAGAAAGTTTTTCTTTTAGAATTCATTTATTATTTTCATAAACTGTTTGTTTTTAAAAAATTTTTTTAATTTTGGTTAAAATATTCATTAATTTGTATAGCAAAAATATTATAGATTGGAATGTTAGCATTGTTCCAAAAGTTCAATTAAGCTTAAATAATGGCAGATTGTGATATCACTGATTGGCGTTGTTCATATTCAGACTAAGAGTTCAGCGTACATATAACTTTGTTATTATGCCATTCGTTCCAACACAAAATGGCAGCCTTCCACCATATGATACACAGAATGCTAACATTACCCCTTACACAAGCAGCTATCAATGAGGAAACCACACACATCAAGGAAATAGCGGACATCAACGGATACTCCCACAACACCATCGACAGAATTATAAAAAAGAAACGCAGGCAACTATATTCCAGAAACATGACGACCTTAACAACAGAGAAGCCAAAACAAAGAAGGGTCGCCGTAGTGTATAACAACACCGTCTCCAAAGGTCTTAAAACCAAATTGAAAAAATTCAATATCGACCTAGTTTACTCCAGTAGACCACACCAACTCGAAAGTTTATTACCATCCACAAAAGACCCAATCGACTCCTTAGAAAAATGCGGGGTATACAAGATCAACTGCGGCTCCTGCAACAAAGTGTACATCGGACAAACAAAAAGACCCTTATCGGTAAGGCTCGAAGAACACCTAAAAGAAGCGAGGGAAGCACTGAAAAAAATAAACCCTCACATAAAATCAAATGTCGCCAGACATATAATAACGGAAAAACACCACATCAACAAAGAGAATGCCCAAATAATTAAAAACGTAAGGGATACTTGGAAATTAGAAACGGCAGAGAGCATCGAAATACACAAACATCAGGCAACACCGTTACTCAACGGCGATAAGGGAAACGTATCATCATGGCTTTTCAAATACATCCCAAAAAACAAATCCAACCAGTTGACCGAACTACCTGCGCATGATTAAGCCTGAACAACAAAAACTAACCCATCCCACCATTTTTTACCTAACACCCTCAAGGACAAAAACAACAATAACCCTACCAATTAGATTTAAATTATAAGACCTGTAATAAGTATAAATAGCTTGTAAGTTGCATAGATGTTTTTAATATTAGGAATCCTCCTGATGAAGGCAAAAGCGAATTTGCCGAAATACGTATAGAATTATACTAAAAAATAACGCACGAAATAAAAGTTAACATTCTTAAAAAACAAAACAGATTTTAATAGTACATATAACACTGAAAGGCATGACTCCCCTATTCAAGTGAAAGTGAAGCAAACTGAAAAATCTGTACATTTGGCCAAGTTCTAAATTTTGTATGATGACAACTAATTCTGTCGCATCGATAAGAAAAGTGTTACCGAATATCCTAGCTAATAATAGACATTACATATGGAGCGAAACACAGTTACCACCTTATCCGTAGAGCCACAACCCAAGCAAAATTCATTATAAGATACTCTTATAGTATATTTTCCTTGCACGCAGTCAGTACCCGTCAGTACCGATACTGTAGCGTTGAGCAGGTTACGCTTTAGTTGCAGCAGCTGACTGTTACGTTTCTTGTCTTGCTATATTTAAACCATATCGTTCTTTAGATCTAACAGAAGGTTCAACTACCTTTATTTCTTTAGCTATACTCAGATATTGTTTGGTTCTAGTTTCGGCGTTGCATGTAGGATAGCAATATCTGAATAATGAATGTTAGGCAATAGAGTGTCTGGCTTGGTAAACTCGCCTATAAATATTACGTGGTTGAAGCTCTCACCAAAAATTTGATGGCAGCTTAGTTGTCCGAGAAAATTACGATATTTACATCAAAACTCTTGTTGTCTAAGACCCATATTGTTGCTTAGTGCCTCGTCATTGCTTCAACCTGAATTTTTGGGTAGTTGAAGGGAAATGCTGAGACCCAGTTTATTGAAAAATATACCATATATTCTTTCAAAAAATATAGGTTAAATGAAAAATATTTTCAAGCTGTAAACGCTGAAACTGTATAAACCTTTGTATATTAAAAATATTCTTATGAAAAAAAATAATTCTGATCAGTTTATATAACAGTTGTGTAATATAGAATTGGTAGTTAGCTCATTCAAAAATCAAGGATTACTTACATAAATAAGTCATAACAATCCGTTACAAAGTTTCAGCCTGACGTAACATTCAGCCTGACACAACGACGTGATTATACCACAGAAGACATAGTCGCCTTAAACTGTCGCTTCAAATATCTTTTCCGCTGGAGCATTTTCAACTATTCTGATATTAAAATGTTGTTTCATTTCTTTACCCCAAAAATTAAGAATTTAATTTGCTTTGAAAAAAAAACAACAACATCGCTAGATATATGCGTGTCGTTGAATAATATTCTTCATAATTTTTAATGTTGCTTTCTTTGCGAGAAGGAGAATAGTTGACTTATAAAAAATGGTTAAGAGCTGAAATTTATCCCCTAATACTATCAATCTGGTCTCCTGACTTATGTAAGTTTTATGCTCTAGACTGCTATAATAATAATTACTATTACAAATACAAATCAATACACTAATAAATAATTTCACGAACATTAATGTAAAAATTTTTTCAGTCTTTAAGTGAAATACATAAATTGTTTACTGAATACTGTACGTTTGATATTATCATGCTTAATACACATGTTTTGAAAAACAATTATCATCAATAATATATTATCAATTTATTATTGATGACAATTTAATAATAATAAGTAGAAAACGCATATTCAATCTTTTCTAAATCCTCGATGAGTTTTATAGAGTAAAATAAATTCTTTTTATTAATAACATAAAACAGTAATGTATTGTTTATGTTATGTATTGTTTAATTATTATGATATTTATAAATATCTAAATAATGTAAATTAAAAAATGAACTATGCATAAAATACAAATAACACTAATTATATTATTTTGAAACACTAAATATATTATATATTCTTGTAAACCATAAAATGTGAATAAAACATTTTTTCAATGGTTTATGAAGAATATTCAATGTGTTTTGCTAAGACCGGTACTAATATTTTCCCAAAAAATAATATAGTAAAAGATATATATATATCGGTTTTAAAAAGGTCTTTAGCTAACAAATTGAAATGCCTGTAATTTTAATTTTGATTTTAAATTATTTAAAATAAGTTTTAGAAAAATATATTATGTTTTATATAGTATATACAATAGATCGTAGATTGTCTCTTTTAATAATAATAATACATATAATATTAGTAGTACCTAAATAATTCTTTAAAAATTCTTTAAAATCTTTTTTTACAAAAATCAAAATTATGATACTATACCCAATTATAATAGTTAGAACATTTATATGCTACTAATAACTAATTTCTCCCTCTTATTTATGAAATGAAAACATTCTTAATTTTGTTTGCATTAAAAATGTCACACTTCCTATAAAATTGAATTCATTTCAATAACGAAGTAAATCCTTTCACTTCACTCAACCTAGCACACTTATACAATTAAAAATAAATAGCAGTCATTGTGCCAGCTAATAGCACTACAAAATAAAGAAAATAAAAAATATAAAATAATAATAACAAATAATATAAAATAATAATAAAGAATATAAAATAATAAAAATAAAAAATATAAAATAATCAAAATAAAAAAGTGCTGGCTAACATCACTAACAACAGGGAATAACAATATAGAACAAATTTTTGTAGAATCTATTGTATTAGCATTTTAAATGTTAAAATATACTAATATTATATTTTTATATAATATATATATAATGTAAAGTCATTCTTTACAATTCATATAGTTTTTTTTCCATATAGTTTTTATTAACCGTCTCAACCTTATTTTCGGCACTTTTTAGAGTTAAATTACAAACAAAATGCAAACAATTTTTTGTTGTTTTTATGTCAAGGAACATAAAAATGGGACAGGAAATTGCAACTTGTTCACATTTTAATGATATTATAAAACCTCAAATAAACAAGTTTTTGAGCAAAATGTCAGAAAAAGTTATAAAGAAAATGGCAAAGCCATATTGTATATAACATTAACCCTTAATAAAATTTTGTTTATGTACTCATTTTATAGTATTTAATTTCAAAATGCTTTGTTGTTGTTTTTTTTTGTTTTGTTTTGTGTATTTTAAGTACATTTAACGTATTTATTTATTGTATTTTAAAAGTAAATGTTTTTATTAATTTATGTTTTTACTCTGTATATTCGTTTCAGGACCCTGCTGGCATTTTTGAGCTTATCGAAGTCGTTGGCAATGGCACTTATGGACAAGTCTATAAGGTAAGATTTTAATAAAGAAAAAGTATTAATTACCAAAATATAATTTAACGCTAAAAATTTAAAGGCAAAAGTAGATAAAAAAAACAAGAACAAATCAAAACGAAATAGGTATCTAATAAATATTACCTCTTAATGACGAGAACAACTTTGAGGGTTTTTTGGTACATTCAACTTGTAGATTTGCGTGTCTTTTTATTACACTGAACAAAAAAGTATACATACCTACATAACGACCAATTTTTATTGTTATGTTAATGAGCTCTTGCTCAAGGTCTTCAATAGAATAAATTAATAGATACAATGTTTTGTACGAGTATTTACGTCAAATTGATAAAGTCTGCATTGTGGTTTCAAATAAACAGAAATTATGTGCAAATTGCTGAAACACGATTACGCACGAACCGAACGCACAGACTAAGATACAAAATAGCCCACTGACTAATCTTGGTCTGTCTTCTCTTAATTATTTTTCATCTTTAATTTTTCTTAATTTTAATGCAATCATCACATTTTTACTTTTAAATGCTAACAATGGCTTTGTTTATTAGCCTAACAAAGCATTATGCACGCACATATAAACTCGGTGAGTCTATAGTCGGGTCGGTGTTCTGTCTACTACGTCTACTACGGTGTTCTGTCACTTAGTGTTCGGTAGTTGGATTCAGGCCGTGGACTCTTTGTCAGTACAAAAATAGCGCGTTCTTCTGTGACTACAGCACAATTTTTTCATGTTGTCGCCGTTAAATTACTGTTAATGTTAAAGTCAACAACAAATATGGTGGCGTTGCTGTATTGAATTTGACTGTTGCTGTTGTCGTTGTTGTTCTTGTTGTTGACTGTGTTACTGTAGCCGCAGTGTTATGCTCTGCTCACTTGTCTTGAACTCTTGTCAGATACATGTCATAACTTCAGTAGAAAAACGCTTTGTGGGGGTCGGGTTGTATCCGTCGACTACTTTCTTCCACTCTAGTGCGGCGTACGTGTTAAGCTTATGTCACAGAAGACATACTTCAAGAGGAAGTTTTTGTTTTTTTTTTTGTTGCTGCTGTTTTTGTTGTTCAAGCTGTTGTTGATATTACCGTTGTTAGCAACGTGCTGTTAGTCAAATGAAGTGGAATGAGCTTCATTTATTAATTTTAAGTATTTAATTTATGTGGTTTCTTCTTTATGTTTTATTTATAATTTGGTTTTGCTCACCTGCACAAATTTAAATTTGGTTTTTTGCAGTGAGTAGAAAAAATTTCACTTAAAATTTTGTTGTAGTTTCAACTTGAGACAATAGAAATTACGAACTCTATTCATGAATAAACATTTGAGTGAAAGAAAAAGTAGATATAAATCATGTTGAACTTTCAAATTGTCTTATGACTAATTGAAATTAATTTGTCCTAGAAATGTGTATCGCACAAACATCAAAACTTCATTTTTTTTGAATAAACTCGATTATAATTTTATAAATATAATATATTCTTTTTTCAACCAAAAATTCAGTAGGTGTCTATTTGAGTTTGAGTCTTTGGAATAACAATATTATAAGTATTTTTTAAATATAATTTAATTAGACTGCCTCAAGTATTAAATTAGTATGACAAATTATAAACATAATTGAGTCTGACTGTCCAAAATTGTATTTAAATTATACTTAAAGTTTTGTTAGTCCAAAGGATGGAACTCGGACAAATATGAATTGAATTCTTCCTGCATAGTTAGGAGACTTATATTCGGACAAATATGAATTGAATTCTTCCTGCATAGTTAGGAGATGTATATTTTACCTACCAAAAATTAATTTCTGATTAGTCGTACTAATTATCGTACGTAATTATAAAAAGTTAATAAGAACAATTATTGTTTTAAAGAATGTAAATAAATGTATTTATAATATAAAAAAATCTTTAACAACCTTCCTCTAATTACCGTACTTTACTATGAAATGTTAATAAGAACAGTTGTTGTTCTGAAGTATCTGAGCAAATATATTTATAAAATACAAAATTCTTAATTCTTTTATTAAAGTAATTAATGTATAAGATTGCAAATATCACATTTACTATTAAATTATTTTTAATTCATTCTATATCAATCTCTTTAGTCCAATCAACAACCTAAATATTCAAACATACTTATATTTAAAATATATAAAACTCATTGTGCGAGTTAATAATACAACAAATTGAAGAAAATAAAAAACAAAATAATGAAAATAAAACGTGCTGGCTAACTGCACTAAAAACACGGAATAACAAGAAACAAATATCTGTAAAAAACTATTATATAATAATATTCAATGATAAAATATGCTAATATATTTTTATATAACATATATAATGTAAATAAAGTTCATTTTATATGTTCTGAATATTTATGTATGTTCTATATATTCTTGACTCAGATGAATAACTACCAATTTTTAAAGTTGGGGTTTAAAACCACTGAAATCTGAAGAGTGAAAAGCAGAGTGAAGCATGTGTTTTATTTATTCGTGTCCTATTATTGCTAGGAATATATCCAGTATCTCTAGTAATTACTTTTATCCATTTTTTCAGTTTGGCAGTTTGAATTCTTTTTAAATCTGGAATTTTATTATATTTCTACTTGTTACTTAAGAATTAGTTGTATTTTAAAAACCCGTGTTTAAAAAAACATTTTTTACACGACGCGATTGTGTTAATACGTATCAAGCAAAAAGTAATTATTTATTTAAATATCACATATGATACTATTCTTCACATTATTTATCTTATTAGGTTAATATTCATACTATTATCTTTACAAGTTTAGCTTAATTATTCTAAACTGAAAATATATCCTATTTTAATTTGAAAATTCCAAAAAGAAAACATTTTAGAAATTACATATTCGTAGTCTATTCGTAGTTTTGCAAAAACCTTCTTATCCTCCATTTTAAAATCATATGCTTTCAATAATAAACCTGAAAATTTTTTATTAAATCACAATATTTTATTACAGAAATCTTTCTGTTTAATCAACTGATCTGTTATATTCAGATGTTTATGTAGATGATCCCAATACTACTACTTAAATTAATGCAATAAATCAATATATCTAGAAAAACGTTTTCATAAATTATTTCAACTTAGTGCCTGAAATAATCGGAACCAATTATTTACGACTTTGAAACGATACTCACCAATCCCGTTTTAGTTTGAATATTCGCATAGATGGTAGACAGGCATAATGAGTACACAATATAAATCGTTGCTATAATTATTATCAACAATTCAAAGTCTCACAACAAACTCTAATACCCAGTTTTAAAGTTTATATTTAAATGTTATTAAATGTATTTTTGTTTTATTTAATAACAACCCTGTAGATTATAAATCTCTTTCAAAAAAATTTCCGAATAAGTAATTCTTCAAGTAAATCTAGTAATCTGATTTTAAAATTAGTTCAAAATGATAAACACATTGTTAAATGACTTAATGATTGGGATTAATTTTGCTTAGAGATATGTATTTTGAAAAATATTTTTGTTTAAATTGAAGATTATAAATGTGTGTTTTGTGCCCGAAAATGCATTACTGAACCTATATATGAAGACCGAAGATTATGTTTCGGTTCTAATTTCTAAAAACAATAAAAGAGTTTGTGTGGGCGTATGCTCAAGTGACTCAACACACTTAACCCATTAACGCCCGTTGATTGCCTTACAAATAGAAAAATAGGTATAAATACTTTTGCCTCATATTTCGAAGCATATAGTATCTAAAATTAAGCAGTTTTTGTTTGAGGCCACTTAAGATTTCAACATTTCGCGTATTATTATTTTTATTTTCACTTGAAAATTTTTTACTAAACTTTTTATTGAAAACCTCAACGCCCAATGCGATTGGCAAACGAAGAAACTCTGTAATATAGAAATTAATAATAGCCTTTTGGGTTCATTTTGACTGAAGTGTATGAAGTAAAAATAATAGCTTAAAATTTTTTTCTTACATTTTTTTACTCCCAAAATTTGCTTTGTTGACAAGTTGTCTAACGTTTTCTATGAATTTGCGCTTAGTCATTCGCCTTTTTTACGCGTTACAGATAAGAAAATAAAATTATATCTCACAGAGAACTATTATTTTTATAGTTTATGTTACAATTTTAATTATGATTTTTGTTATGAAAATGCGTTAAAATGTGTACTGGATGGAAAGTGGGTTAAATAAATTAGTAATTTAAGTCCCAAGACATATTAATATTATAAGGTGGTAGGTAGTTACTAATGGTTGTCGGGTTCAACACAGACTAAATTGTGTTTCGCTACTTATTATAGAATACTAATAAGACTTCTAATTAAATTATCAGACTTCGTTAAACTATTTAGTCGATGCCATAAACTATCCACTAAGTAATCTTGTTTAAGTCAAGTTAGCAAAATATGAGATACTTTCTATATAGCTGATAGGAACCTAAAATAATTATGTCTTTATTGGTATGTGCTTCTAAAGGTGTTGGTTTGTTCTTCTTCCTTAATGACTTCTGCAATAATCATTGCATGTAATAGACATGAGACATAACGACCTATAAGCTAATGTGCGGGGATACCCTTATACTACTTTATGCAGTGATGATAGCTGTTTGGCTTAAAGTTTCATCTATTCTTATAGTACACTATTTACTTCTTAAATAAAGTGTTAAATTTATAGTAAAATATTGATAAAGTATATCTGTACATTTCGCATTCTTAAGACATAAAGACCTATAAGACAATAAGCAGTGATGATTAAACCTATTTGAATTAAAAAAGTAAAATACAATATCTGCAGATATCGCATTTGAAGATACCTACTTGGATTATAATTTCATTTATTCTTATTACTATTTAATTTTTAAATAAAGTTAAAATTTATAGTAGAATACAGAATACCATATATCTTCAGATTTTGTATTTTATTTTACCTAGTAGCCTTGTATTATTTATGGTTCATTCATTATTGATAATTAAGTCCGCACCTTTTTCTAAACTCTTAATTGAATTTATATTGTTT